AGGTTAATAAGGAACGGTAAAAGTCACTTACTTCTTATTCCGTCATCTTGAAGACCATTCTTTAAATGAATTCTAGATGGCCTTTGTGTAGAATGTAGTGAGGGATGAAGGAGATATAACCATTGGTGTAGAATGTAGAGAGGGTTCCTTTTTAGGTGTTGGTTAAACTACATGATATCTGATTTTTCCATTCAACCCCAAGATTCTGTGACTATCTGGATCTCTCACATTGCCCTGAGCCTCACATTGATTTCTCCCATGCCTCTGCCCATTAATTTTTTTTTCTATTTTTTTTTAAAGACCAGCTCTGATGGTCTTTCGCGACACTTTGGTAAAAGTGGTATCTGTTGTGTACAGGATGAGCTGGTTCTTTAAGGGAAAGGTTGTTATTAAGAGCTAGATTGTGATTTGGTCAGCTCTGGGAATTAAATCTTGAACCATTGGTATAACTTTCTTGTGTCTTTGACATAGTTGACTGAGGCTATGAGGAGTTAATTGGTGTCTCTGGGTTTGGTGAGATTCCCATTCTTTTGAGGATGTAAGGGGCTAGCACATTATTATGACCAGGGGTTGCCCGTGGGGAATGTGGAGGCCTAGGGGAAATTGACCACTTGAATCTGTGTTGTATCATTATTTATCCTTTTTATGGTTGAGTAAACTTTTCTTTATTAAATATTTCACTGCCCATGACAGTGTTATTGCTTTTCACTACTAAGCTTGAACTACTGTACTGCTCTGAACTGGACCTGACTTAGAAAAGGTATCTTCCCCCATTTCTCCCAACTGGAGAATGCTTCCAACTCTGATCACTAATGACACAGTGATTGATGTCACCTATATATTTAATCTTTCAAATTTTCTCAACTCCTCTCTAAGTAGATTATAACCCTCTTAAAGTAAAGGAATTTTGTCATAATCCATCTGTACCTTCTTTTGATTGGAAGTAATTTCTGCTGCTCAATCAAGTAACTTCTTGTTAATCTTCAACCTTCCTGAATCCACTGTAGCTTTTGCTAGCATTGATTACCTATTTTCCTGGATACTCTTCCCCCCACCTTGTCTTCATGGTACTATTCTTTTTTTGTTCTACTTATAGTCTATTCCTTTGTTAAATAAACACCTAGCATTAATTAATTAATTAGTTCACATGGATTAAGTGCTTAACTCTGTTCAAAGCATTTTGCTAAGTACTGGGGAAAAATTAGAAAAGTAAGATAGTCCCTGCTCTGAAAGAATGCACGTTAATGAAAAAAGACAACACATTTGGACAACAATATATTCATATTAGTCTCTCATCTTTTAGTGGTGGGCATTATCTAGAGCTCTTTCTTGTTCCCCTTTCTCTTTCTACACCCTGTCCATTGCTGGTTTCATAAAGTTCCATGTGTTCAGTTGTTATCTTTGTTCAGATAATTCTCAGATCTGTATCTCAAACCTTAATCTCTCTCCTGAAGTTCAGTCCCATACAACCATTTGCTATCTAGATATCAACACACCAATGTGCCAAAGGCATCTCAAAACAAAATGTATAAAATAGAACTTAAACTCATCTCTCTTCTAAACTTCTCCATTTCTTTCATTATTATTACTATTATTAATTTATTTTGACTTATCAACAATCACTTCCATAAACTTTTGAGTTTTAAATTTTTCTCCCCCTTCCTCCCTGCCTCCCTCCTCAAGACAGCACACAATCTCATATAGGCTATACATATACATTCCTATTAAACATATTTTCACATTAGTCATATTGTAAGGAAGAATTGGAACCAATAGGAGGAACCACCAGAAAGAGGAAACAAAACAAAACAGAAGAAAAGAATAGCAAATAGTATGCTTCCATCTGCATTCATACCCCATAGTTTTTTCTTTGGATGTGGATAGCATTTTCTATCATGAGACCTTTGGAGACATCTTCGATCCTTGCATTGCTGAGAAGGGCTAAGTCTATCAATGTTAGTCATTGCACAATGTGGCTGTTACTATGTACGACATTCTCCTGATTCTGCTCACTTTACTCAGCATCAGTCCATACAAGTCTTTCCAGGTTTTGCTGAAGTCAGCCTGTCCATCATTTCTTATAGCATAATAGTATTCCATTGTATTCATATACCACAACTTGTTCAGCCATTCCCCAGTTGATTGGCATCCTCTCAATTTCCAATTCTTTGCCACCACAAAAAGAGCTATAAATATTTTTGTACATGTGGGTCCTTTTCCCATTTGTATGATCTCTTTGGGATCCAGCCTTAGAAGTGCTATTGCTGGGTCAAAGGGTATGCATATTTTTATAGCCTTTTGGGCATAATTCCAAATAGCTCTCCAAAATGGTTGGGTCATTTCACAACTCTACCAACAACACATTAGTGTTCCAATTTTCCCACATCTTCTCCAACATTTATCATTTTCCTGTTTTGTCATGGTGGCCAATCTGATAGGTGTGATGTGATAACTCAGAGTCGTATTGATTTCTCTAATCAATAGTGATTTAAAGCATTTTTTCATATGATGATAGATGGCTTTAACTTCATCTGAAAACTGCCTGTTCATATCTTTTGACCATTTATCAATTGGGGAATGGCTTGTATTCTTAGAAATTTGACTTAATTCTCCATGTATTTTAGAAATGAGGCCCTTATCAGAGAGACTGGTTGTAAAAATTCTTTCCCAATTTTCTACTTTCCTTCTAATCTTGGTTGCATTGACTTTGTACAAAAATTTTTCGATTTAATAAAATCAAAGTTATCCATTTTGCATTTTGTAATGTTCTCTATCTCCTGTTTGGTCATGAATTATTCTGTTCTCCACAAATCCAATAGGTAAACTGTTCCTTGCTCCCCAGTTTGCTTACAGTACCAGCCTTTATATCTAAATCATGAATCCATTTTGACTTTATTTTGGTATATGGTGTGAGATTTTGATCTATGCCTAGTTTCTGCCATACTCTTTTCCATTTTTCCCAGCAGTTTTTGTCAAATAGTGAGTTCTTATCCCAGAAGCTAGTGTCTTTTGGTTTATCAAACAGTAGATTACTATAGTCATTAACTGCTGTGTCTTGCATATCTAACCTATTCCGCTGATCCACCACTCTATTTATTAGCCAGTACCAAGCAGTTTTGATGATTGCTGCTTTATAATACAATTTCAGATCTGGAATGGCTAGGTCACCTTCCCCTGCATTTCTTTTCATTAGTTCCCTTGATATTCTGGACATTTTGTTATTCCAAATGAAGCTTGGTATTTTTTTTTTCTAGCTCTGTAAGATAATTTTTTGGTATTTTGATTGGTATGGCACTGAATAAGTAAAATAGCTTAGGTAGAAATTGTCATTTTTATTATATTAGCTTGACCTACCCAGGAGTAACTGATGTTTTTCCAATTATTTAAAGATGACTTTATTTGTGTGAAAAGTGTTTTGTAATTGTGTTCATATCGTTCTTGGGTTTGTTTTGGTAGGTAGACTCCTAAACATTTTATGATTTTAACAGTAACTTCAAATGGAGTTTCTCTTTCTATCTCTTTCTGTTGGGCCTTGTTGGTAATATATAGAAATGCTGATGATTTATGTGGATTAATTTTATAGCCTGCAACTTTGCTAAAGTTTAAACTTCTCCATTTCTGTTGATGGTGACATTTTTGGGGAGGAGGGATGCTACTTTTCTTTTTTCTTTTTAAAAATTTATTTTATTTTTAATTTTTGAAATAAAACAAGCATTTCCATAACAGAGTAAAATAAAAAGATGATTGCACGTGAAATTGCAAAACTGCTATGCACAGCTTGCTATTCCTTTCAAAAGTACAACAAAATTATTGTGTTAATTTCTTTTTTTACCTTCCCCCCACCCTAGAGATAAAGAGCAAAGTTAGGGGGCTACTTTTCTGATGGCACTTCCTGTCACCTAGGTTCATAATTTTAACTCTTTCCTCTTTCTCAACCCCCCAAATTCAGACAGTTGCCAAGCATTGTCAGTTTTCCCTTCGTGCCATCCCCTCCATCTCTTCAATTTAATATTTATACTAATTAAGGTTCTTTTTATCTCACCTGGACTATTTAAGTAGCCTGCTAATTGGTAGCCTGTCCCCAGCCTCTTTCTTCTTCAATCAGTCCTTCATTCAGCTGCCAATTTGATATTCTTAAAACACAGATTTAACCTTATTTCTCACCCAACCCTGCCCCCGCTAACTTTTATTTTTGATAATTTCCTACTTATTATCTCTAGGATAAAATATAAAATCCCAAACCTGGCAATTCAAGGCCTTCACAGTCTGGTTCCAGTCTTTCTGTGCAGTTTTTTTTCATGTTCCTCCTCACACAATGAAAACATTTCATCTTTCACAGCTATGCCTTTTGCACAAGGGGTCTTTCATATCTAGAATTTTCTCTCTCTTCACCTCTGCCTCATGGAATCCCTTGTTCCTTTAAAATGTATCCTGGGTGTCACCATCTACATGACAGCTCAGTTGATCTTCATAATGAAATTATTTGTATTATTTTATACATATATATTCTAATTGTTTGCATCCATGTTGTATCAATCCAATAGATGTAAATGTTTTCAGGGCAAAGATTATTTCATCTTTATCATTGCAGCTACGATGCTCAGTATGTAACTGTAAACAAAGTAGGGGTTTCATAAGCATTTAAAAAAATCAATTTGATAAATTATTGTCAAATTGAGTCTTATAAGTGCTTAGTAATCATAGGTGACTTAGGCTCGAGGGCAGGTAGAAGATTGAGCAATTGATCATGTCTTCCCTCACTGTCCATTCGGAGGCACATAGAATCAGAGCAGCTAAGACCCTAGGAGGAACTACATACCTACTAAGGTCTGTAGAAATGTGAAAGGTGACTCTGGGCTCCAGCAAATACTAAGAGAAGCACAGACTAGTGTGTTTCCTGAAAAAGAGTCCTGTGCTTTACTATGCTACCTAGCTATCTATTAGTGTAGGCTCAGTGAATAGAAGACATGTTTATAATTATGATCGCTCTTTTTTTTCAGCCAGTGGACATTGTTTAGATGGCTCTCTGATGTGTCCATCAACTAATAGCTGCATCCCAGCATTCCAACATTGTGATGGCTTTGTTGACTGCACTGATTTCCAACTCGATGAGTCCAGCTGCTCAGGTACTCCACTTTTCATTAAAATACCATTTACAGTAGACACCTGGAGTGATTTTTATTAAATCTGTAGAGTAAATAAAATAAAAGCTCATATTCTGCTTAAGTCTGGAGTGGAATATAAACTGCTGTGATGAGTTGGAGGTAGCAGGAGGAAAGGTAACATTTCTTGCTACCTTAGCAATTTAATCATAGATTTAGAGCTATAAAGGACCTTAGAAGGCAATCATTCCAAACTTCTTCATTTTTAAGATGAGGAAAATGAATCCCAGAGAGGTTGAATTACTTTCCAAGATTATACAGCTAATGGTGGTAGAACTGGGACATGAAAACATATCTTACTCCTATTCAGCATTTATTAAATACAAAAATAAAAACAGGTAAGTAACTAATGATATGTAATCATTTCTTTTTTTATAAAATGCATATGAATAGTAACAAGGAAACCTATTATTATAAAAATCCATATTCATATGGTGATTTACAAAGTGATTTACATAGATTATCTCACTTGAGCCTCACATTACAGGTTTTGTTATCTTCATTTTACAGATGAGAAAACTGAGGCCCAGGAAGTGGGGTGGTGGAATTTGTCCATGGTCACACAGATAACACATAACAAACGTGGAGATTTAGTCTCAGGATTTTAGGATTCCAAAACCAGGAGGTACTCCATCTGTACCACTATGCTACCTTCCTTTACAACAGAAAACCAAATACGGTAGTGATGAAAACCTATATATTTCCTATCCCCTTTTCTTCATAAAAGAGATGGCTTTTTCAGTTGCATGGTCTCTTCCCTTCTGAAAAAGTTGATTGAAGTTATTCTCTAGCTCTCTATGAAGCCTACTGTAACAGTCCTCATAATCCAAATTAGACTATGTCATGGAGAGTATATGTCAAATAATGAACAGAACCAGGGCTCTAGAGTTCTAGACAACTGAGATAATACAAATAAATGATTAAAATACATTTCAGTTCATGATTTTATGAATAAAGGGGGTGGATCTGACTAACTCAAGTGTCTGTATTTTTGGTATGCAGGGGAGTGCATTTAGAAAAATGACCAAAGCAGGGTCTTAGTTATCAAATTACATATCCTGGAATTTATTTTTTTTTCCAGACCAGTAAACTGTGCATATGCCTTTCATAAAAAAGATTCACCACAGAGAATATTCTTTGGAGCCTAGGAGTTAACACAGCCAGTCTTATGGACATTCCTGGGTGGACAAAAATTTGAATGGATTTTTTACAGACTATAAAGATTGGCATTTGAGTTTAATATTTTATTTCAGGTTATCATGCCCCTATTTTGGATAAGATACTAGGAAGGTAGAGTAAGGCTATTTTTCATAGGGACTAAGTATACATTGAGATAAATTAGGAGAATCAGGCAATCCATTTCTTCTCTAGTTTTAAAAATAATGAGGCATAGAACCTAAAGGCAACAACAGAAGTCAAGCATTAACTAGATAGATAGATAGATAGATAGATAGATAGATAGATAGATAGATAGATAGATAGATATTGATTATGCATTTACTATGTTGTAGGCACTATGTTTAGTGATGACACCCTCTATGTTGAAGCCACTATGCTAGCCACTGGAAATATAAAGATAAATAATACAAAATGGTCCCTGCTCTCAGAGAGCTTATGTTCTCCTGGGGAGGTATTTGCATACAAATCTTTGTCTCTAGTTTACAGGCTCTATTCTCTCTCTCTTTTGGTGAAAATTGGGATATTCAGACTTGTTAGATCATGCAACACTTTCTCATTCTTCATGGCCTTTCAAAGGCCAAAGACAGTGACCCTCAGATGTAACTCAGTTCCAGGTGACTTGCATTTTTTTCAGGGTAGTTATTTGCTCTTTTATCCTCTTTTCTCTGATCTTGGGCATTAACTCCGTATTGTTTTAAGTTTAAAACAAGAACAACAATAACAACAAATAGCAGACAGTAGACTGGAAACTTGCGTCAAAGTCTTTTGACTCTAAACCAAGCTCACTTTTCACTCTGCATCACAGATTTTGTCAATTAGTCATACGAGCAGATCACTTTTCAGTAATCAGGTAGTCTTAATATTTTGGACTGATATAAACCATGATTAGTTATTTTTGAAGGCAGGGTAAAGGGGACAGAGTGTGCCATCAGTTGATGTGGGTAAGGTGGGTGTCATTGGGGTACTGGAGACAGAAAGCTTGGACAGAGGAGAAGATCATTGCCAAGGAGGCTGATATACATGATGGTGGGGAAGAACTTATTCCAAGTTATCAACTAGTAATTTGCCATTTTATTTAATTAATTTTCCTAACTAGATGCCAAGCTCTGCTTTTTCTACTCTGCTGAAATATTTGAAAGTGCTGTTTTTATCTTCTTAATTTGGCACTCCTTTGATTCAAACCTCCACATCCATTCAGTGTTTTGGTCACCCTAGATGTAACTTTGTTTTCATTCCTCCATCATTTACCAAGTATTTACTGCCTCTAAAAGAGTACACAGACACAGCTTTTGAGTGTGAGTGAAACAAAGAGCTGTGCTTTTTGATTTCATCTTGGTTGGTTTTTTTAAGATGCCATGATCATGCAAGTCATCTGTGGCAAGTAAATAGAAGAATGTGATTTTGAAGACTGACACATTAAAGTGAGAGTTTATACTATGAACAGTGGCTTCAGACTTGTCAAATGTTGTTGATGTATCAATACAAATTACATCAAGTGACTGAATGTGTCTTTCCTCTTAAAATATTAAATGGTGTTAAGGTCATTTTTCCATGAATTTTATGACTCTATATCTCACAGCAGCCAATAATTACAACAGTGGTCACATAACAGATGGTGAACATCTGGTCTCACTTCACCTCTATATTTAAACCATTAGCAAGAATATCAAGCTTAGACACACTGAATAAATGTTGCAAGTTAAATATATTTTAAACTTTTCTCCCTTTCTGAATAGAATTAGTAAAACATAATTTTTAGGACTGCATCATTTGTGAGAGATTACAATACAATGCAATGACCAGGTTTTATTTAAGTTAAAATTGCATTGTAGGCAGTTGGACCCAGGGTTTCCTTTAAGTGCCTTTTACTCCCATAAATTCAAGAGGTTCAAGTGTAATGGTTTTGTATTTACTCTAATTGTCATCTGTTGGGATCAAAATACTACACATGTACTAAAAGAAACATTTAAACAGTAAGTATTATGACAGTAGTAAGAAGCAAGATGGAATAGTAGGTTAAAGGACCAATCTAGATCTATGACTTCTAGAAAGTCCTTTAACTTCTCAGTGTCCCAGGAAATTCAAAAATTACACAGGAATTGTTGATCTGCACCAGCAGAAAGTGTTTTCTTATGGGGTATTCTCCATACCAATGAATTCACAATTCCTGACACCTCTCCCCCATCTATGAAACAAAATCGTATTAGGTAAACAGGACCAGAAAACAAAAATGGAAACATTCACTTTTACAGATGTCAGCAAGAGAAGATCTCTTTAGATAGGTATATAAGTAAAATAATGGTCATTTAAATGAGGTATCAAAGGAATATGATTAGAACAGAAGATATTAACCATTTTGTGTGTGTTATGGCTCCTCTTGACAGTCTGGTGAGACATCTTCTCAAAATAGCATTTTTAAATCCCTTATATACCATACATAGGATTGCAAAGGAAATCAGTTTCTATTCAAATGAAGTTATCAAAATATGTTTTTTAAGTTTACAAATAATAGGTTGAGAGCCCCTTCTTAGAAGAAACAAAAATGTTAGGAAAATATTTCATAAAATACAGAAAATACTACTTTTAATAGTCCTCACTCCCACAGGATTATATGACATTAAAGCAAGCATACTAGCCCCCACCAAAATTGATGTGTATAGTGCAACTAAATGTAGTTAACAGCTAGCTACCTGAAGATGTTGTAGGAAGTCTGATGAATGGGGCTAAGTCCTGCTGGTTCCTGTTTAAAGTTAAGCACCTATTCAAGGAGGAATAATATGTTTCAGTAGGACAAATCATAGCAACATGACACTGTATCAAAATATGGCCTCGGAGCCCTTGTATCCTTTAGTATGGAAGAGATGTTTTTTCCAGCTAAATCAACAGATTCATTTTCATGAAAATCCCCAACTGTGCTCAATGTGTATGTGAGCTCTCATTCCCACATCTTCGATGTGATTTCCTTTGACTCAGCCTTCATCTGCTGAACAGTAATCCTTACCATTTTGGTTCCCTCTGCTCCTTTGCAGCTTTATTCTGATTCATCTAACAGGAGTACATTAGAAGAGAATAGTTATTTCTAATTCATTCAGAAGAGCAGAAAACTTTTGAAACAGAAATGAAGCCAATCACAATTAAAGTTAGCCCCTGGAGCGCTTCCTGTTTCCTTGATGACTGTGGCATATATGTCTTGGTTCTTCTAGCATCTGCCAGACCCTTTTTCCACTTATCCCATTCACAAAGATATCTCCTCCTGCCATCCTTAATGACTTTTTTCATCTTCCTGCTGCCTCCAAATCAATCTACTACTCATTTCTCCCAGTTTTGCAAGTTGTTCTGTGATCACTCTTCCAGAAAACCTGTCTTTCCAAGTCTATGTCTATCTAAGTCTGGTGAGGCCACGGACCACGTGTACCATTTGCAATTCCCATTAACATCTAATATATTTTATAGTTGTTTGTATAATCTCCCCCCCCTTTAGAAAATGATCCCCCTGAAGGCAGATCTGTTTTTTCCTTTCTTTGTCTTCCCATTGTTCAAGAGAAGCCCCTGGCACATCAGAGTGTTGACCAACTGACTACTTTAATGTATCTCCATTGGGCCTTAGAACAATATTTTGCCAATAGTGAATGGTCCATACCTGGCAATTTGGTGGGAAGATTGTAGAGTGCATTCCTATAGCAATGGAGAATCAGACAGGAATATTTTGGGATCTGGTGAGATAATAGAGGTTTCAGTGAGGTGAGAAAGAATGTAGTGAGGAAGGTTGCTGATCCACCAACCATATCCATAACTAGCAATTTTTGTTCCTGTCAAGTCAAGTTTAAAGACAAATTCAGTTGAGAGAGAATAAAAATAACAGCCCTTGTACAACTTCCTCTGCCTGGTAGATGAACATACTAGGGACATACTGCCCAGTCGCTCAAGAGAAGTTTGGGAGTGAAAAGAGCTTGTTGGACAAGGGAGGATCTTACTTAGGGTGTGGCCTGGGAGTGTGTGGAGTAATCACTTCACCTGGTAGCCTGTTCAACTTCTTATTTCATTCCTGCTATGTGTTAAACTCAATTGTTTCCGTGGGTTGAAGAGGGTAAGTGCTATATTTCAATGCATGGAAGTGAAATGCCAACTGCACCACTTGGTTAAAGCTCTACTGCTAATAGAGATTTGCTAGTTAGATGAGTAGGTAAACTGGGCACAAAGCACAAGACAATAAGAGAGTGGTCACTTACCTTGAAAGTTCAATTTGGAAAATAAAATGGACTTTCATGCTTATAAAATGAGGTAGAGTAGAGAAAGCACTTTGAAAAGTTAAAATTATTGTACAAAGATAAGGCATTGTTATTTTGGACATTTTTAGCAGCTCCTTTAACTGTAAACCACTCATAATGGCAGAAGTTAGATGAACATGAGTGTATGAGTAAGCCAAGTTTTCTATGACAAAGTCACCCCCACATAGCATTTCTCTGCTTCCCTACAGTCAATACCATGTAGAGTGCAGAAAAGAAATGACTTGCCCAAAGAATAATGTAGAGTCCCAATATGTCACATAGACATGTTCTAAATAAGCACTTTGGACATAATCCTATGGCAGAAAGACTACCCTCTTATAGTTATCCACTCAGGCATATGAAGTGAATGAACTCTTCCAGAACAGCAGGAGACCATTGAGTAAATTTTTTTCAGAGCATTGAAGGGTAGCCTAGGAGAGTCCTTTCACATTTTGCTGTAAAGCAATAGTTTACTTTGAGGGAGCCCCCCCTCCTTTTTTTTCATCTTAGGCTTAACCCCTATAATAAAGAATAATACTGTTTCCTTCTTGTTCTTGATAATGTTTATTATTAACTATATGCTCTATGACTTTTCTCTTTAGAATGCCCAATAGGATATTGCAAAAATGGTGGAACTTGTATTATTGAGAAAAATATCCCCATCTGTCGGTAAGAACCATTTTTTAATTCTTTGCTTGTAATTGGAGAGTTTGCCTACTTTCAATAGACTGAAACAGAATATCAATGCATGTTACTTTATATAGAGTTCACTTATATATGTTGGTTCTTATCTGTACTCTGTTGAATTAGAATAAGAAAGATATGAATATGTTTTAAGAGGAATATCAGCTACTTATTAATTAGTTTTTTCCAACTTTCAAGAGTAATTAGGTTGAAAGTGTACCTTTATAATAACATTTACCATTTCCTGTATTTTATATTATTTATGATGTTTTAATCTTAATTTTCATAAAAAAAATATTGTGTTAATGGGATTTGGAAACAAGATTTGCTAAAATCTCCCTTTCTTATTCAAGATGAATTTAGGATTTATTTTCTACCTTTCCTCCATTATTTCACCTTCCAAACCTTCATTTTCTGTCAGCAAAAGGTGAAATGAATTCAATAATGGGGATTTCTTTGTTTATGTAATAGCTGTTGATTACTAGTTAAAGTTAATATGCAGATAAGGAGAGAATTTGCACATATAATAAAAGAACAAACAAAAACAGAACTTGGGTTTTCTTTGGGGAATTATTTATACTGCTTATCAAAGGTGTTTTGCATCTTTTTTTCCTAAGCCTTTGAGGAGTTGTGTGAAAGTTTCATGAACTCTAGGGAAAGTAATGCATATTCTAGCATATTGTTTTCTGTGACTGTTTAATCAAATAGATTTTCCTGTAAAATTCTTTTGCTTATTAGAGAAGTGATTGCAGATTGGTCTTTTAGTATAGCTTTCTTAGTTAAAACCAATCAAACAAAGGTTTCCAGAATACAGTGTGCTATGAGTCATAGTCCTCTGACAGTACTGAAACTGGCATATCTATGTGAATATGTAATCCTCTTTCAAGGGAAGCAGTTATCCTTCAAAGAAAGAAAGAAGCACAGCAAAATAAGTGTATCATGATCATAATAATAACAACAACAACATGTTCTAACATTTATATGGTGCTTTAAGTTTACAAAATGTCTTACATATATTATCTTATTTGAGCCTGACAAAAACCATGTGAATTAGATACTGTAGCTATTCTTATCCCCGTTTTGCAGATGTACAAAGACTTACAGATAAAGTGACTTGGTTGTGTTCACAGTAACTCTCAGAAGATGTGCTTGAACCGAGGTCTTTTGAAAATTCTAGGTTCAGCACTTTAGCTATAACTCCATACTAGATAGGTATACCTATGTTTTATCTGGATATTATGAAAGGAAAAGTTGCATAGTGGATAGCATGACAAATCTAAACTCTAATACTTATCATCTCTATAACCAAGGACAATTCTTTTAATCTCTCTTAACCTCAGTTTCTTCATCTTTAAAATAGGAACAATAACTTCTGTAGTATCTACTTCACAGGGTTGTTATATGGTTCACATGACATACACATTGCATAAAATGTACTTTCCAAACCTTCTTCAAGTGTGATATAAACGTCAGGTATTCATCTGATTTAATTTATTTAAAATTCTTGGAATTACGGATTTTTAAAAAATCTTCTTTCAAATTCATCATGCAATTTTCTTCTGAAACAGAAAGACTCTTAAGATCATAATAATAGTTTAAAATATAACTTTTGTTATGTAATATTCCATGAAAATTTTTATTACAACATATAGCTTGATAGACTGACAAGATGTCTAATTTTGATTTGTAGACTCTGCTGACAGAAATTAAAGTAGATTCTTCTGGAATGTCAGTTATTTGTTTTGTGGAGACAAGTTTGGTATTCCAGCCTTGCCCTTTCAACTTTTCTTCCTTATGCCAACAAAGTTTTATAAACTTAAAATACTTCAGTTAACCCAAATTAACCTTAGTAAGCTATCTTTGCTATGTCCTCTCTGGTTGAAATAGCAATTTCTTAAATGACATTCAAAGGTTATGGCCCCCAGTTTCCTGATCTCTGTTGAAGGTGGGGCAAAAAGAGGTAGGACATAAGGAACAAAACTAATAGGGATAAAATACAGAAAGGAATCCACTAGAGGGAATTTCTCCTCCTTTAAATATTATTTTTTATTGTCATGATAAGTAACCTCTCCAACATCAAATGACTTCATTTATCAGCTACACAGATAATTATGTCTCCTTTGGAATCTATCCTATCTACACTGTTAATGGAGCTTTGGAATAGCTATCAACAGTAGAATGCAATGCTGTCATTAGAGAATGGAAAAATTATACCACATAACCAAATTAAAATGTGGGATCATTAATGGAGAGCTGGAAGGAACATTAGAAGTTATCTAATCCATTTTGCAGATGTAGAATGTGAAACCTAAAGGGATTAAGTAACTTGTCCAAGGTCACACTGGGAGGAAGGAACAGGGCTGGGAGTGGAATTGAAGTCCTTTGACTTTGAATCCAGCTCACTTTCCACTGTGGTTTCCATCTAAGACCGTTATCATAAGATCTTTACATCCATTCAATATTTTTTGTAACTCTTTTATATTGTATTTTCTCCCCAAGATTTTGTTGTATTACAAGGTCTTTCAAGATTTAAGCTTGAATGACCATTATAAGGACAGAGCTTTGGGTTTGGGGAGATTGGAAAGAGAGTAATAATGCTTACTCTTCTGAATTATATGTGATATTTAATCTCTTCTTTGGCTAACATACTGTTGTATATTTTGTTATTCCCCATGTTTGGATTCTTCAAGTGAAGAATTTCTACTTAAAATCAACAGCTCAGGACTATTAAAGAAATAAAAATGAAGCACCATAGTTCTATATGGATAAGCCTGTGACTCATTAAGTAAAGGATTTTTGAACTAAAGCTAATAAACCATCTCTTAAGTGTTATATTTCCTGCTGTTATTGCTCATGTTTGAAATGCAATCTTCAGATATAAGACATGGCAGTCTAGTTAATTGCAAGGGTACACTTACCAGCACTTAATAAGTCTATTTACAGGATGTTGGATATCATTCTACCATATATTATGATAATAATTGCACAGTGGTGAGTCAATACCTGTTCTACTCTTCAGTCTAGTTCATGAAATTATACCAGTAACAGTGAGAAGCTTGAGATTTCAGAAACTCCATGTATTGAGGAAATGCCTGAGTGGGGCTCCTGGGGTTTTGTTAGTATTTACTTAAAATATATTAGTATTTGAGCCAATGGCCTTTCCAAGGATCCATCACTCAAGGGGAATGCAGAAAAACTAAAACAGGAAGTCCCATCTCCAGGCTAAACATACCCAATTCCTTCAAATGATCAATCTTCATATCAGATGATCTTAAGGCCCTTCACCCCACTGGTTACCCACCTCTGGAAGCTCTCCATCCATCCAAGAACATAGCCATGATCTTCATAAACTAACATGCCTCAGTCTGAACACAATATTGTGGGTGAAGTCTGATGAGATAGAGTTGAGTGGGATTATCACCTCCCTATTTCTGAAGGCTGGGGTAGCTAGATGGTGCAGTGGATAAAGCCCCAGGCCTGGAGCCAGAAAGACTTATCTTTCTGATTTGAAATTTGGCCTCAGATACTTACTATCTGTGTGACCCTGGGCAAGTCACTCTAATCTGTTTGCCTCAGTTTCCCCATCTGTAAAATGAGTCAGAGAAGGAAATGACAAACCACTCCAGTATCTTTGCCAACAAATTCCCAAATGGGGTTACTAAGAGTCAAACATGACTAAAATGACTGACAAAAACAATTCCTGAAAGTTATGCTTCTTTGAACATGGCCTTCTCTGACCTTTTTTGACTGCACGCCACCCTGTTGGCATACAAGGATCTCAATCCACCAGAATGCTCAGATATTTTTTTCAGATTATCATCTGTCTAGCCATGCTTCTTATTCTGCCTTCTAGAGTCAAATAATACAAGCTTAATCTGCCCTGCATGTATTATCCCTTTCAATACTTGAAGAGAGCTAGTATGCTTCCCCTTTCCCCACAGAAACTATCCATGGCTGCTCCATTTTGAACTTGTCAAGTTAATGTTGTTTAATTGGCATCAAAGACTTTGTAAAATCCTTCCCCTCTGATGACAAATGAAAAGAAATTGAAAAGAACATCTCCATCCCATTTCTCTACATTGCTATTACTTTACATCTCTTATGATGAAAGATCACAAGCATTTCTTCTATCCTGTGAGGGCATTGTGGTGTAAAAAGGCAAAATGTCCACACCCCCTCTCTCAAGCTGAATGATTAAAAGAATAATATCATCATCATCATCATCATCATCAATAACCAACATTTACTTTGTGCTAATGTTATACTGTATTAACTTTACACTATCTCACAATGTACTAACTTCTTCTCAATTATTTTCTCATTTGATCTTCTTGACAACCCTGGGAGGTAGGTCATCTTATTATTCTCATTTTATAGATGAGGAAACAGAGATTGCTACATGGGGCCACAGAACTAGTAAGTGACTGAGGTCTGATATATATACAGGTTTTCCTGACTCTAGACCCCACAATCTATCCACATCTGACTGATCACATCAATTAGATGGTAAGATTATTTTTTTTCACTCAGTTGTAGCTCCTTTATTTTTTTTCACATCCTCCTTGAGGGATTAGATTTAGTATGGGCTTCTCTTTTTTGCTCCCATACTTTATGGCTTAGTCCAGGGGTGGGGTACCTGCAGCCTCAAAATCACATGTGGCCCTCTAGGTCCTCAAGTACAGCCGTTTGATTGAATCCAAACTTCACAGAACAAAATTTGTCAAAGGGCCACACTTGAGGACCTAGAAGGCCACATGTGGCCTCGAGGCCAAAGATTCCCCACCCCTAGTTAGTCACTCAATTCTAAGGTTATTCTAAGGTTCAGGGATCCTTGTGACCAATGTAAATCTAAGAAATCCTGCCAAATTACCTACAGAAAGCCATGTTTCAGCCGACATGGTAGCTCCTTTCTAAGGTCTTTTCTCTGGCTTGTTCTTTTCTTGAGGGAGGAGAGGAGGGAAGACAGGAGGGAGAAGAGCAAAAGA